CATCTTAACTTTACCTTGCTACATAACCCATCTGTAGGGACATATGGTCCACTGTAATTGCAAAATCCTACCATTAAGCTGACCTTCTCTATTACCCACAGAGAAAGGCTTCAGTCTCTCACTTAGAGAGAGTAAGAAGATGATGAAAGTACTTCACATATTTTCTTTCCCACTAGTTTTGGGAATCACCAACCTCCTCACCACAGCACTACAGTCCATTTCTGCAAGCAAGTCAAAGTACTGGTGCTTCCCTTTAAAGCCCTGGATGTACCTTGTACCTCGGTACTGAAAAACTGCCTATTACAGCATCAGTTTGCCAATAAGCTAAGATATTTGAGGGGCTTTCTTTTAATAGCTAGCATCATCTGATGCAAGTAATGGGGAAAGAGGGCATAAGAACATAAGAAGAGCCCTGCTGGATCAGGCCAAGGGCCCATCTAGTCCAGCTCCCTGTATCTCACAGTAGCCCCTCCAGATGCCTCTGGGAGCACACGAGACAACTAGATACCCGTCTCCTGATACCACTCCCCTGCAACTGGTACCTTCCTTTTAAGTCTACAGATTATACATCCCCATCATGGCTTGTAACCTGTGGTGGACCTTTCCTCCAGAAATCTGTCCAATCTCCTTTTAAAGGGGCAGGCTTAGTGAGGCACCTCCACCAAGGGTATGCTTGGTGGAGGTGCTTCACTTGCAGAGTGGTTTCTTCTAAAAGCTTGACTGGCTCTTCGCTTGCTGTCTGTGCCAGTCTACGTCCATAATAAAATGTTACTTACTCCCTGACACCTTTAAAGTGAGCAGAAAAGACCTAGTTCTACATATTCCAATGTTATCTGTGTTAGTGTTTTTTTTAAATCTTCCTTTTTCCCCACAGGGAGTAAAGTAGTCTACATTTATTTCTAAAACCCTCAACATTTATTATTTAAGGACAGCATAAAGATATTTAAACATAAATTATGTTTGCATGCCAATCTAAAGTGAAGCCTTCTCACACCTCCACACTTCCTCCTTATACCTATATAAGATATAAAGAAAGAGTTAGCCTTGTTACCTCTGCCTTCATCGGCTATCCCCAGGACATAGAGGGTCACCAAAAATCAGAGGGTGCAGCAGACCTTTGGCCTTCCTCATCTCTTAAGCAATCTCCTCTGCATCCCAAACATATAATTTCTAATATCCTTTGAGAGTATCAGAGCTGCCATTTCATTCACTAACACTACAAAAAAATGTAACAGGTACAAATGATGAAAGCCAAGGACTACCAGTGACAGCACCTAGACACCACTCCTCACACGTCTCCTGAACTGGGAAAGAAACAAGAGCCCTGTCTCTCTCAGTATTCTAAAAGCATACAGATCTATTGAGTGAGAAGCAGTGAAAGATTTGGAATACAAACACCCATTCCCACAGCCTCTGCAAGGCAGTGCCACATAGCCCAACAGAAATCTAAAATGCAGGCAGCTGTGTTGATTATTCTGTGTGTGCATGTGTGCATGTGCATATGTGCATGTACACACTTATACAGAGAGAGATGAGCAGCATCAAGCAATACGTAGTATAATATACTGTTCATTAGAATCAGTTGACCATAATAGATCTCTAGCAAGAAAAACAAAGGGTCTTGGGGGACTTTACATATTGAGATATTTGCAGGTGGGAGGGAAAAATGCATTTTTGTGGGTGTCCATTGCCCTTTTTTTTCAGATGCACTGTTAAGAAAAATATTCCTTCCTGGTAACAAGAAAGTCATTAACTCCTATAAAGTAAGAGCCCAACATTTGCTGTTGTCTGGAGATGGTGAGGAAAAAGGAAAATACTTTGGCAAGAATGAATGAATGCTGGGAATGATTCTGAAATCCCACTGCCGAACATATCAATTGGATGCCGCGCTTGTCTGGAAATCACCAAATGCATATCTTCTCATGTCACATGCACAACTTACTGTATCAACTGGAGCTCTTACCTCTTGCACTTCTCCACCACTGTCAATCTGGGGATTGGGCCAGGACGTACTCCAAAGATTCAACATGTGCAGCCAGTGGTCTTTACAGAAGTACCTAACTTCTCACTTAGTTTTCACAGTAACAATGATGTAAACACTCTCCCTTTTTTGCATCCTGTTCTCTCTTAATGCATTGAGACTGCTCACGTACTCTCTTACAGGAAGTGAGGTAGATAAGGAGAATGCTGCAACTGGAAAGCAAGCATCCTTTCTCATGGCACAATGGCTGGCTAAAGCAATAATGATGGATCTTGCACCTAAATTCATGATATTCCAGAAGTAACTAAACCCAATTCAAAGCACCATTTCAGGGCAGAGCATGAGGAGAAACAAGAATCCAAAAATTAATATGGGCACATCAAATTAGCCAGACCTAAATTAGTATTACTGAGTAATCTCTCTCTCCAGCCCCCCCTCCCATCTCCTAAACCTATACATTAAGACAACAGATCAGTAAAGACTAGATAGTCAATTCATTTTATTTAAATTTAAGGCAATATCAATATGGTCCCTAATTATAGAAACCAGTGAAAACTGGCATATAGCAATATGCACTGTGGCAGTCCCATCATGAATTGTAGCCAACAATAAAAAGATTGAAAATACAGGATACACGGACATACAGAGATATAAGGTCAGAGGCCCCAAATCCCCCATCTTATAGCCTGGTTCTTGCTCTGCAGAACAAGTAGTAGCACAACCTGTTTAAAAGCATCTGAGACAAGATGGGGTAAAAAAAAAACTTAAGCTTATCTCAACCAATCTTGACCCTACAGTATAGCTAAAATAGTCCTCTGGTTTCACTGCAGTGGTAGAATCAGTGTGGCTCTCACTTTCCAGGTGTGCTCTGTTCATAAGACATGGGTATCATGTACATCTCCTTTCATTATTACGTCTCCTCATACTGTACTTTCAGGGGGGAAAGATGTGCCACAGAACGAAGCCAAGTTCACCTATCTGTTCAGGTTCTCAAAGAGGACATGAAGCCCTTACATAAATGCTGGCACACATACAGAAACACTACTGCAGGCCACTCAATGTCCAGGATATGACGCAGAACTCATTGACCAACACAACTTTATGGCAACAGCAGCAACAGATTAAAGGAAGTTTCCTATAAGAACTATTACAAGGATATCCATGAACAGCCACAAAAGATAATAGGAGACACTTGAATCCTTATCAGCTCATATCTTGCTTTTATTAAGATTCATGAAAAAGCTTTCATTGACATCCCAGACTCAAACATCTATACAGTACTGCAGTCTGTGGCCACAGCTCTGGTGTTCACTCCATTGTGTCAGGCCACATAGTGTTGACCAGCATTTTTTCCTTGCCTATACTCAAACAGTGACATGTCCCAAAAGTCTATGTGCTGTGAGCCTGATGCACCACCCTGACGAGTTCTCCTTTCCAGGAACAGGGCCACATGCTCACTATACTTTCCCACTGGAGTGGAGGAGCTGAGGTCCTCCCAATGTGTCCTACCACTCCTGACCACCTGTTACACTGACTAAGGCTGATGGGATTTAGAGAGGCCACAGCTTTCTCACCATTTTTTTTTCAGGACATTCCAAAAAAAAAAATCTGAAATCTTTAAATTTGTAACAAAAACATACTTATAGTTCTGCAATGCCAAAATAGTCATATTCCAACATTATTCCAAGAGCAAAAGACAAAGAAGAGCATTAACCTTTGAAATCATTACAGATAGTAGCCAAGTGATAAACTTTGCAGGCCGGCCTTCCCCCACCATCAGTGCCCATCAACAATCCATGGATTAGGAAAGCATAAGTGGACACTGATATCTCTTGTCATATCCATCCGATAGTAAACAGTACAATGCAGGATGAAAAGTCAACACCATGTTTAGGTTTGAGCATCTAAGGGGCTTTCCTTTCTCAATGAGCAGGAGGGGAAGAAAAGTCCTTTCCGCCCTAAATGCTTGCAAAAACACAAGAAAGGCGCCGCAGTTTATGGGCTTCTGTTGTTCCAGGGTGTTGCTTAACACAGAAAAAGAGGAAGGAGACCAGCAGAAATCACCAGCTAAAAAGCTCATCCTATTTAAGCAAGGTCCCCCCCCCCAGGGCGTGCCATAGCTCCGGGAAATGGGGGCCTCGGTGACAAATGCCCAGGTCCAACCTTAGTGTCAAGAGCTTCCTATATAGATAAATTCTAGCAGCAACTGCTTCCTTTTAAAAAGTAGTATTGATAAGCCCTTCCCACTCCCTTGGGTAGCCTAACCTAAGAGCTAAGGAAAACAAGGAAAATGAATCTGAGCACTTAAAAGGAGGTTAAAATATGGTCTCTCTCACACACACCCCACTCACACGCCAACAAAAACGGGGGTGGGAGGCTTTTTCACTTAAAAGCTATTCAAGATTGGAGATGGGGGGGGGGAAATAATAAGCATCGGTTCAGAAAGCCTTCTACATACGGGAGATATAAAACCTACTCTTACACACCCAGTATACGCTAAATGTAAATTCAGCCACAGACGTATCTGTTATATACAGATGGATGCCCCCCCTTCTGCCTACCCTGCAATGGGGCTTTAATCAAAGGCAGGCACCATTTATCAAGACATTTAGCGGGAAGGGCAGACCCCCCCCCGCGCCGCCGCCGTCAAGAAGATAAAGTGTGGGTCTTCCTCTCTAAATCGAC